CTCTTCGGGGCTCCATGTTTGGGTGATGCCGGCTGGGCGGGGTCCACAGCACAAAACCTCTTTTTCTCTTCAGATGCCAGTTTATGTCATGGGCGTGACCAGTACCCAGACGCCTTTCTCCTTTAGCAACGCCGACCCTGGGCTCACGTTCCACTGGTCCATGAGCAAAAGGGACGTGCTGGACCTCGTGCCCAGGCACTCGGAGGTACGGTCTGTCCGTTGCTTATGTTACCTTAGGGAGCTCACTATTAAACTTATTTCATCATAAGTTTTAGATTGACTCACTCTAAACTATAATATTACTACTTCTCTCCTTTTCCTGTTTCGTGAATGCTGGAAACCTGTAACTCATCTAAAGAATGAGATGATGATACTGGCTTTCAATACACTTTGCTGGAGGGAGCTCCTGAAAGCAATGTTTCCTTTAATGTTGTATTCGATGTTTCCTTCGTGAGCCGTAACTAGTTACATGAGTGACAGTTATGAATATAAAATATATACATAGTTTAAATCTTAATATAAATCTTTTGACATGTTCAGACGCATGCTTGTGCTGCGTGATGGACAGTTGACATTGGCAGCTCCTGGGAGCTGCGAGAGAGCTGGACGCCGCTGTGAGCATGTGGGCGCCGCGGGCTGGTGCGGCCTGTGTGGCCACCAACCAGCAGCTGAGTCTGGACTGAGCTATATTAGCAGCAAATCTAAGAAGGACGATTCGTGAAACCGCTGCTCCCTGTTGCCCTGGGTGCTGCCAGCTCCTCCCAGTTCCTCGCCTCCTGCATCTGGAACGGCAAAGCCCTCGGGGGTGGAGGGGGGACTTGGAGGAAGTCCACAGCGCACCCCAAGTCTGTCTGTGAAATAGCTGTGATATTTCAATGCACGCAGCACTGAACCGCACTCTGAACCCAAACGCAAAGAAAGGCGGATTCTGCAGGTGAACTTCACCTTGTGTTACTTGCTCATCAGTGTGCTGGGACCCACCCACGGTAGTCTGGGGACAGTGGCAGCCACTGAGTCAAGAGAGCTAGAAAGAAGGTCTTGAGGGCTCTGGACAGCGGAAGGCAGAGGAGACAGGACAGGAAGTGCGTGCCAGGAAGGTCGCCGGGCGCCTGCTTCGGCACCCGTGGTAGTGTTGGTCCTGCCGTCCCCGTTGTGGAGATTGTCGAGGTCCAACCCTCATCCATCCAATCAAGACTGGAAGGGTGAGCGAGGCAAGCAGGGGGATGGTCAGCGGTGTCAGCAGAGCCCTAACGTGGGGCTCGCCTTCTTGACCTCTTGCTTTCTCACTGTCACTGGACCTGCTAGTGACTGCCTCAAGTCCCACCTCAAGTCCCACCGTCTGAACCCATCCTGCAAACCCCTTTCCTCGTTTCCGTCCTGTCCACGGCTTGGCTTGGTGATAGCACAGGTCTCACAGAGGCTGGCCAGAGTCCGCCGAGCGCTGCAGACAGAGGCCGACTCTAGGAGTGACTGTGCCGCTAAGAACATGGACAGAAGGGGCTTCGAAATGGGCCCTGGTGCGCTAGCTCTTCTAGGGAGCGATCCTAGCATACGATTCCCTATTGTCACAGCAAACGGAAGGGCACAGTGTTTACGCACGAGAATTTCTTAAGCCACCCCCTCCCTGTCTAGGTTTTTCTACAGCTCCCGGTTGAGAAGAACTTCGCCATGGTCGCCCACACGAAAGCAGCTGGTCGGACCAGCATCAAGGTCGCCGTCCGCTGCACGAACAGTTCCACCGGGCAGTTTGAGGGGGATTCGTTGGAACTGTCTGATGAAGTCCAGATCCTAGTAAGGCCCAAAGCGGAACCTTGTTCTCGCATACCCCGGGGAAACCGCTGATCGCCCCGCCTGAGTTTTGACGTTAGAAGCCGAGCTCGTGCCCCTCCTCACCTCCCACACGCCACACCCGCCGGAGACGTGTTGATTTCGGGGTCGTTGTGCCTAACCGGATATTAGGGGTACAGCCCGCTTAGCTGTATTCCTAGGTAGAACGAAATCTGATCCTAACTCTGGTAAGATAGAGAGAGTACGAATACTTTCTACGATGTTCTCAGGCTGAAAGTTAAATGGCTCTATCGTTTTTAGAATTCAAAAGAAAAATTGATCGCCTGTGGGGGGCAGATAAATTTCTCTCCCTTTGTTATGGGACTGATTTTTTGTCTTCCTTTTCGTTCTTTTGGCTTTGGTTCTCTGACTCAGTGAGACACAGAGGAAGGAGCCCTTCCCCAGGTGCAAGACCCCAACAGTGTCCCTCGATAATTTACTATCATAGGTACTTTGTTCCCGAATCTCCTTTCGGGTTACAGGAGCTAAAATCAGAAATTACAACGTGATTTTATACCTAATATCTAAGTAATACGATGGATGTCCGAAGCGTGAACGTAAGCCCTGCCCAGCCCCCAGCAGCGGGAGCAGGCGAGGTTAGGGGACCGAGACCCGTTTTAAGTGCCCGACGCACTTTGGGAGGGGCCGTGTGGAGCATGAGGCCGCGCTGCAGTCAGGCGGGCCGTTCACTTGTAGTTGGCCAACTGTGAGTAAAGGTCATCATTTGTCTTTTCCAGAAACGAGAAAAAAATTTTTTTCTCAATATAGGTGTTCGAAAAACTCCAGCTTTTCCATCCAGAGTGCCAACCTGAGCAAATTCTAATGCCCATGAATTCTCAACTCAGACTTCATACCAACAGGTAAGGAGAATGGAGAAGGGCAGGCCAGGTACCCCCAGCAAAACGTGGAAAGAACTGTCGCCTTCTGGGTGACTTTTGTAACCCACAAATAATAAATTCTGTTTCGTTGAGTTGAAATTCACATAACATACAATTAACCATTTTAAGGTGCACAATTCAGTGGCATTTAGTGTAGTCACTAGATCGTGCAACCGTCACTTCTGTCTAGTTCCGAAACAGCTTCATCACCGCCTGTGCCACTAGGTCGTCGCTCCCCTCGCCCCTGCTCTCGGCCCCTGCCGGCCTCTAGTCAGCCGTGTCTGTGACTTCAGCTGTTCTGTGTATTTCATAGAAATGGAGTCATACGGTATTCCAGTCAGCATGTTCTCAGGTTCTTCCATGGTACAGGTTGTATCGGTACTTGATTCTTTTTTACAGCTAATATTCCATCGTACAGATAGACCACATTTTGCTTATCCATTCATCCATCCACGGACACTGGGGTTGTTTTCACCTTTTGGCCATTGTGAACAGCGCTGCTATGAACATTCATACACAAGTATTTGTTCGAATACCTGTTTTCAGTTATTTTGGCTGATAATTTTTTCAGGATAATCGTATAACAGGATTTGGTTTTTAAAGAGAGAAGGCTAATGCAAAGGCAGGCTTTTACCTGAGGGACAAGTAAGCACACAACGTGGAGAGTGGCCGGCAGCTTCCTCAGAGCACGGCCTCCGGCGCTGATCCTGGTGGTCTCTACCCCGTTCTTTCTAGTCGAACGGAGCCCCAAAGGACGTCCCTGTCCTTCTGTTCCCTAGGGAAGGGGCCGCCTTCGTGAGTTCCCGTGTTCTCAAGTGTTTCCCCAACTCGTCTGTCATTGAGGAGGACGGTGAAGGGCTCCTGAAAGCTGGCTCCATCGCAGGTACCGCTGTGTTGGAAGTCACCTCTATAGAACCTTTTGGAGTCAACCAAACAACCATCACCGGGGTTCAGGTGAGTTCAGGGACGTACTCAAAAAATAACCAAATAAAAGGAGTACCGCAGCCCTAGAAAACTAGAAAACTCTCTGGAATCGGAAATGAACTAGAAGATAAGAGGGCAATCGACGTGATTCTCAACCATCAAATGGAAGTGACTTTAGAGTCCTCGTTATAAAAGGAATTAGCCTCAAAATGGTCTGATTGTCTCCAAGCAGCCTTAGCAAGAGGGTCGGTGTGGTAGAAGCACAGAACTATTGCTATCAGAACTAGGCTCTATTTGTAGGATAAAAACATTTAGAATTAGAAGACAGCTCAGAGGTAAGTTAGTCCAATACAAAAAAAAGTTTTAGGAATTCAACATCTAGTATATTCCAGCCACCATGTTGGTCCTTTGATGTTATATAATCTCTTTTAACCACCACCAAACCCTGTGAGGTAGGCGTTATTATCCCTAGTAAGCCGACAAGAAGCCCGAGAGCTAGGATGGTTAGACGAAGCTGTGCGATGAAGCCAGATTCAAAGCTGGGCTTCTCGCTGTCACCACGGCTCGTGAAGGGTGAAAACAGTCTACAATATTCTCGATAAATGATCAATTATTTAACAACAGACATTGAGTACTCTGCACAAAATAGATGAATCGCAGTCCTTCCTGAAAAAGCCCCATCCCAGCGTTCCCGCAGCTTTCATAATTAAGAAGCCAGTTCCTCCTGTCGTGTTTCTTTTGCGCTCTGACTTAAGTCATCTCGAATCAAGAGGAACAGCATTTTTATCACCGATTATAAATCTCAGAATATGGTCGCAGCCCCCCTCCAGTGCATCCTTCTCTGTACCAGTAGGTTTTGTCTCCCACAGGTGGCACCAGTGACATACCTGCGAATGAGCAGCCAACCCAAGCTATACACGGCCCAAGGGAGGACCCTATCAGCCTTCCCCCTGGGCATGTCTCTCACCTTCGTTGTTCAGTTTTATAATAGTGTCGGAGAGAAATTCCACACGCACAACACCCAGCTTCATCTGGCTCTGAACAGGTATGGAAGCCAAAGGGATGGTGACGGTGACAGGAACCTTGCAGATCAGGCTGGTGACATGCAGCAGACCCAGTAAATCCTTCTCGTGTTTTGCACTTGGAGTCTGATCTGTTTCTTTCGTTGAGATGTGGGGAAAGACCAGAATGCTAGTAGTTGTTCAACGAAGAAACATTTCAGGATATTTTGAATCCGTCAAGTCCTAGTTCACAGAAATCTCCCATAGGGGGCAAATTGGAATATTATTATCAAAAAGCCGTACTGGAAAAAAATTTAAAAAAAAGAAAGCCTTCCTGGGCACTGCATGTGTGAGGGTAACAGACTGGTCTGTGGGCCCTTCTGAACTTCTGGGCCGTCGGATATAAAGTGTTGTACTAGCATCCGCCCCCAGAACCGTTTCCCAACGGAGAGATTTCTGTCTTTCACGTCTACTTTCAGAGATGACCTGCTGCTTATTGGGCCAGGAAATAGGAACTACACTTACATGGCTCAAGCCGTGAACAGAGGGGTGACGCTCGTGGGGCTCTGGGACCGGAGGCATCCGGGCATGGCAGATTACATTCCTGTTGCTGTCGAGCACGCCATTGAGCCAGACACTGGGCTTACGTTCGTCGGAGACGTCATCTGCTTCAGCACTCACCTTCTCAACCAGGATGGTCTGGATACCTCCCGTCCCTAACCTCGCAACCAACCGGCAGGACTAGGAAGCAGCTGGTCCCCTAGAGCGTCCTTTTCCAGATTACCCACCGCCCGAGGGCCTCTCTGAGAAAGAAGTTTCTGTGTGTTTTAGTTTTCACGTTAACTGATGGTTGTCAGTTTAATGCCCGTGTCTCCCACAGCCAGCCAGTTGGAGGTCAGCAGCCGTTTTTACCCGGCGCCCACTGAGCGCACTGCTCTGTGTAATGTGCCACGTAGGCAGTGTAGGGTGCCAGGACTTCTCCCCATTTCCATCCTTTAAGGAGGTGGTCGCTGAGTTGAAGGGCAGTAAAGGATGCTTTGTGAGGCCCATTTGGAGGCCTGTCTCCTATGTATAGCATCACTGTAACAGGTTTGGCCTTGAACCGGGCTGAGCTGTACTCTTGATCGGCAAAGCGTTTCTGCCCTCAGAAGTACTGTGGAGTCAGAGGAAACCAGCTTTAGAGAGCAGACGAGTTTTGGTTGTTTGGGCTTCCAGACAGCGTATTCCCAAGTGGTACACGCTGGCTGTGTACCACCCAGGCGAGACGCGCTGGCTTTGCACCCTCCTGGGAACTCAGTGCACGTGTTCGGGTACAGCGATGGGATGTGGGACCTGATTTTAACGGTAACTGTGTATTTGGGGCCTGATACAAGGGAGCTCTGCTCGGCTGAGGTCAGACCCTCCGATCCTGTCACCGCGGGCTAACGCGTAGCCGGAGCTGGCACGCCAGCTCTGCTCGGGGTCCGCAGAGCCCCACGCCCGTGATCGTTAGCCTCTTGTCAGTGGCGCAGGGGCTTTTCGCTTTCTCTTACTAGGTTCTGTCCTCTGCTGTCCATTCTGGAATTTGGGGGCATCCCAAATCCATGCCACTTTTGATGAGGAAGCCAGAGGGCCTCAGGCCAGAATCAATACCCTAAGCTAACTCTGGCATCCCTCTGCCACCTTGAGACATCCCTCTCCTGCCAGCCGTCATTTTCTTGCAGGCTTCCCGCTGGTATCCTCGGTAGCTCCAAGCAGGCTCGTCCTTAGCAGGGTCTAGATGAAGCTTACCCAGAGAGTCATCCCTGTGTGTAGAGTGAGTTTTTCTTTAAGGAGAACACGTCCATTGTCCAGCTAAGTGGCTCCTTTTACGATTCTGAAGGTCAGCAGTCCTTCATTTGCCGCCGTGACACACAAAGCGAAGCCTGCCCCTCAGAAAACGAAGCTCTTCTCCAAGCGGGTGTCCGTCCTGGGAGATCATTGTGCCTGGGTGGCCTCCGGATTTAGAGCGAAAGGTGGCAGCCAGTGCCCTCTCGTCTTTTCCTAGGTGAGCCCGGGGTGTGGATGGTTTCCACGGACAGTATTCTGCAGACAGACGTTGTCACGGGGGTAGGAGTGGCCCGGAGTCCCGGAATAGCAACAGTCTTTCATGACATCCCAGGAGTAGTGAAGACGTATCGAGAGGTAAACCCAACGGTCGCAGGGCTGACGGACACGGGCGGCTGTTTGTGCGCGTGGGCATGTGCAGAGAAAAGGCCCGGGAAAGGCAGCACGCTCACACGTCCAGCGTGGAGACAGCCACAGACTTCACTCACTGGGGCGTGGAGGGAAACAGCGAGTAGGACCCGTGACCAGAATGACCAGTCTGACTCATACTCCAAGGTGTCACTGTGGCTGCTGGTTGGTACTAGGCTGTAGGGGTGAGTGCAGAAGCTGAGACCGGCCGGGGGCTGTTACTGCAGTGACCCACGGACCAGGCCAGCTCGACGGTGGATGCGGGAGGTGGGAGTCGAGAGTTGGTTTTGTTGATTGGTTTTTAAAATTGGAGAAATGACGGCTTAGGCATGATTCAGTAGAGGAGAAGGTGACATCGGAGGAGGAATGGCTGCGTGGTACCCGAGCGGGTGAGATGGGCGAACCGTGAAGAGCTCAGCTTTCTGGAGCCCTTTCTGGTGCCCCCTTAAGTATATATAGCCTCCTCCCCCTGTGCTCAAAGAACTTGTTTGTTCCTCTGTTCATTCCTTAAATGTGACAGCTGTCATTCTTTGAGCATCTACTGTGGGCTTGGCACTTTTCATCTGTTTTTCAATTTTGATTTTACATCCAGTACAACTATAATTTTTAACCTTCAACCTGCAAAGTATTGTCCCAGTTTTATCGATGAGTAAATTACCCAGTAAGTGCCCACATCATATCTGGTGCCTTCTTTCCAGGAATTCACTGTCTAGTGGTGACATTATTACTATAGATGGCATAAATAATTAAAACAGAATTGATCATTGCTTTACTAGTGGTATATCAGAAATGCTCTTAGAATACATTAGAAAGTCACTAATCCTGCCTGGATGCCGAGGCTGGATTTTTCATAGATGACGCTTAAACTGAGTCTTGAGGATTAGAGATTTGTCTGGCAGGAAAAGGGGGAGAAGGCATTTTAGACTAAAGGCATAGATGGACAAAGGCAAATAAAAGCATATGTTATGTCTGAAGACCAATGAATAAACTAGGGTGACTTCAGTGTAAGTTTATAACGGTGGAGAGAAAAGCTGGAAAACAGCCAAAAAGAGGATTTGTATCGAGAGCAGATAAGAGGGGTGAAGAGAGAGAGAGCATGAGAGGACAGCTAGAAAGAGCGATCGAGAAGGGTCTAAGTAGTAGAAAAGCCGGGGGAAAGGGTGTCACAAAAGGCAAGAGAAGGATGGGCTGTGGCGTTAGAGGCTCCAGCGAGCCGAAAGGCCGTTTCTATTCCGGTTCGTGTGCCTTGTGAAATCCTTGTTTAGTTATTCACGAACTAGCAGACACTCGCCGGGGCCCGTTACGTGTCAGTGACCGTGCTAGGCTCTAGAAAATCACAGACGAGAAAGACAGAACTTCCTTACTGAGCTCTTAATGTAACTGACTTGTTTTAAGGTCCTCGAGTAGTTGAAAAAAACAGAACAATGGCAGAACTGAGGAGACCGGGCAGGCAGTGTATTGTGTTTAAATTGAAGATATTTGAGGGAAAGGGCCATCAGTGCCACCATCTCCTCTCCTCACAGTCATTAAGACTTGCCTCGTATACGAGGCACTGTACGGGCTGCACGGAGACGAATTAGGGCTCTAGCAGCTTAGAATCTAACAGGAGGGATTTTAACAAATATAAAGATACCTGTGATATAAGGCAGAACATCACAAGTGTATTGAGGAAAACCAAAGTACTCTGAAGTTTCAGAAAGGGTTAAAATTATATGCAACTAAAGAGAGAAACCTTCTGAAAAACATTGCCATTGTCTTCAAAGGCATTTTCATAGGGAGTCATACAAAGGGAAGACGTCAGAAGGGAAAACGGACAGACCTCCTTTGAGAAAACACATGTTCTTCTCATAAATGAACAGATTTTGTGGTTCTCAACTATGTGATCGCAAAAGGGCAATTCGGGTGAAACGTGCTTTTGGTTAAATGAGTTACCGGGGTAGCGACGGAGGGAACTGGAGTCTCTAAGAACTTAGGGACACATTTTCCTTCGGTTTGCTGACAGGTGGTTGTCAATGCATCATCAAGACTAACACTCAGTTATGACCTGAGGACTTACCTCACCAACACCCCCAACTCAACCGCGTTCAAGCTCTTCATCACCACGGGCAGAAACGGTGTCAGTCTGAAAGGTCAGGACCCCGCGGGTCTGTCTGTCCCCATCTCCCCACCGTCCCCCAACTCAGTCACCCCTCCGGACGGGCCATCCCGGTGCCCTTTTACTTCAAAAGCGACCCAGTCTTAACAGATAAATCACTAGCGCTACGAGACCTCAGGAGTTATAACTGTATTAAGGTTTGAAATAGGCCCAGCCTGGGCCCTGTCATCTTTCTGGTCATAGCCCTGCCTGGGACTAGGAGGTGGCCTAGACCAGGGACTTCCAAATGGCAGGTTGGCAGTGTCACCCAAAGAGATGTTTTAAAAATACAGACTCTTAGGCTCTATCCAGAAACTTCATCAGTTTGGGATGGGGCCTAATTCTCTTTAAGCTTCCCCAGACTTGAGAATCGTTGGACTAGGTGACACCTGAAATGTTTTTTGCTCAGCACATTTGCCTAGTGTTTTGTTATTGTTGTTATTCTGTATCAGATCATCATTTACTGTCAGAAAAAGGCAGAGGACAGAAAACTCATCAATCCCAGCTGCTATGTTAGGAATTTTTATATATTTTGTCTCACTTACGAATCTCATCAGGTAGTGATTATCTTCATGTTACAGAGGAGAACCCTGAGTCTACAAGCAAGTGACATACAAGGACACCCAGTGAGTGGCAAAAGTGGCAGATACGTCCCACTCCAGAGTCCATGTACATGCTTTCATTCTCTTTGCTTTTTTCCTGAAGAAGGAACAAATTCCAGATTTTTTCTTTTTTGGCAAAAAGAACATTCAAAACCAAGCAGAGAAGTCTAGACTATAATTACTGTCTATAAACTTAGGATAATTTTCTAATATAATATTGTATGTTAACTATAACTGAAAAATTAAAAAACTTAGGATATTTTAACTCTTAACTGCCATTTTGTCCTTCAGTTTTTAAGCACTGAATGTATTTTCCTTTCACATTAGATATTTAATCTTATAAATACAATCTAAGAATGTATAAATAAGAACATCTGATTCTTAAAATTCTCCAGCTTCTTTTACAAAGTACTAAGTGTTTCTTCATAGCACATTCACTCATTTCTATCTTATGATTTTTACGGACTGCAATTTTTTCCCCCACAAAATCTTTCTAAAACTACAACTTATCGTGAAACCTCATAAAACCATTCCTTTGATATTGCTGACAGTTTCCAAGAGGTGAGAATGGTCACTGGACTGCTGGCAGTTGAAAAAGAGCTTCAGCAAGCCGAAACCATTAAGAAACGGTGCTGGGAAAACCTTACCAGGACACCAGTCCCTATTTAGCTTAGAACGCCATCCATCGTCGCTGACCCCAGCCTGGCGCCAGTTGGCTTCTTGCTGGCTATGTGGCTCCTTTTAAGGCACCACTTGTAGTGAAGTTCTGGAGATATTTGACTTGTCATATTTAATCGGTTATGGAATACAAACCTTCTAGACTTAAAGCTGCTTCCCAGATGTATTGCAGTGCAGTATTTCTAATAGCTGTCCAATTTCCCCGTCTTATTCCCACTGATGAATTCCAAAAAGCTTTGACAGAGGACACCACCTACCTGTCATGTGGTTAACGGAAGCCCCACTGCAGCCACCGCAGGCCAGCAGAGGCGATGGGCCCACACTGTTGACTGCAGCAGGACCGGCGAGGCGGCGGCTGTAGCGAGTCAGGCGGAAATGACCCTCGTGCGTCTTTGATACCGAACCACCTCTACATAATGGTCTCCCCTTTAAAATTCTCGTTCGTGACAAAGCTGTTTACCTCTCTTCTGCTTATTAGGATCTTGCACCCCGAGCCAGGCCAAGGCCATCACAGCGGTCCTCCTTCCAGAGACCCTCGTGCTGTGCCACGTGCAGTTCAGCAACACCCTGCTGGACATCCCAGCAAGCAAAGTCTTCTATGTGCGTGCGGATTTTAACGTGGAGAAAGGTGCGTTCCACCGGCTGAGCTCGGCCTGCACCTTGTTGTCCTGTGTACAACTGTCACCTTGTTGTGCTTATGCTTTCCAGTGGCATTCGCTGTGTAACTCTGGACTCTCTCAATCAACACTTTTTGTCCAAGCCATTCAGACTTTTCACATGTCTCTGTAACACCTTCCTATTGTGTATGCTTTTCTGTGATGTACTGTTTCGTTGGTCCCTGTCATCTCTGAGGGCTTTGCTCAAATCTCACTCACCTCCTCCCCCCAGTAAGTAGCAGAGCCTGAATGTCTGCTGAACTGAAGGCTAAACCAAGCCGCAGAGCACAAACAGGCAGAAAGCAGAAAGAGGCATTATGCTGGGAGGACTTTACATGTCACTGATCTAAAACGAGGATCCATGTCCCATATAAACAGGACAGTGCTACGTCGGGAGGGGGGTTTCTGCCCCAGGCCGGCAGCACAAACGGTCTGGGTGGGTGGTGGGCAACCACGGAAGGAGGTTCCCTCGGCAAACTGCTGAGCCCCAGAGTGCCTGGAACCAGGACGGGCAGTGGAGGTACTGAGGGGGAGGACGAGGCTTTTGACTCTTACTAGTACTGCACAGGTGATTAATCACAGCCTGAAGGTACTCACAGCCCCTGGGGCGGCAGAGACGGGTAAAGTAGGGTTTTACGGAGTAAGTGCTCTTCGAAAGCAGTTTTCAAGTCATGTACTAGCAGCACAGAGACTGGACAAGGAGAACGGGGCAAGGAGGCCGGTAAGTGGGGCCGCTGCAGTCACCCGAGCATGCACCGACGAGCGTCTGCACAGAGGAGAGAAATCAGCGGGCAGATGTCAGGCATTTCAAAGGGTGACTTAGCAAGATTTGGAGAAGACTGAAGAATGGAGGAAAGGGTGTCAAAAACAGCTGAGGTTTGAGGGCGGGTAACTCCGAAAATGCTGCGAACAGAAGTAAGGCCGTCCGGAGGGCTTTCGCTAGAGAAGTGGCCGCCCACACCCAAGGCCCGCCTCTTCCACAGACCCTTTCTTCCTCTTACCGACTGTTCCATTCTGCAGCCCCTGCGTTTCTGCGGGCACGCTAACACTCCCCGACCTGCCCACTGACCGCAGACGTTTCCTTAAGCAGCGAGTCCGGTCGTGGGTTCCCCGAACCGGCTTCTGCCGGCCCGTAGTGCGCCAACACTGAGCACTCAGAACCGAGCTCGCATTTTCTTTCAAATGTACGTGTCCCCATTTTTACTTCCTATCCTAATTTGTGGGCTCAGTAGAGCCTCTGAACCTCCTGCTCCGCTTTCCCTCCTCAGGGGTTTACGTCTGCCTGATCAGGGTTCGACTCCAGCCAGAGGAGCTGCTGCAGGCCCTCAGCACGGCTGACACCTCCGTGTACGGCTGGGCCACCCTCGTCAGCGAGCGCACCAGGAACGGCATGCAAAGAATCCTCATCCCTTTCGTCCCAGCCTTTTACATCAACCAGTCAGAGCTGGTGCTTAGCCACAAACAGGACCTCGGGGAGATAAGAGTGCTGGGAGTGGACAGGGTTCTTGAGAAGCTGGAGGTATGTTAAGGGCTGAACCGAAACAGGGCAGGGTTTTAAAAAACATTTCATTCCCAGTCCAAAGGGAGTTTCTAAATGACTTGGTAAAATTCACCACAGGAAATTCTTAAACAGAACAAAGAAAACCTGTCCCTTTCACAATGCCAGGGGGACTCCCAGAGCCCAGAACCGTGAGCTTTGCCAGCCTGGAAGAGAACACCAATGCTATCTTAAAACCATCTTTAGAATTGTAGTTTAAAACTTTTTTGCAGCCTGTTTTATTCTCACGGTTCCCTTTTTCCCTTATCATTCAACACATCTAAGTGCGAAAAAGGCAGGGACTTACTGGCAACTAGATCTAGAAAGCCAGGTGTCTGTGTGTGTTTAAGCGTGGAATGCACAGACACGAAACCGGTCCTCCTTTCCAACAAGTTCCATCTGTTTTTTCTCCAAGGTTGTCCCCAGCTCCCCTGTCCTCGTGGTCTCCAGCCACAGGCACGCCCCCCTCACGTCGGGCATCGCCGTCTACCCCGTGAGAGTGGTCAACTTCACCTCCCTCCGGCAGAGCGCGTCACCCGTTTTCATCAACGTCTCCTGTGTGCTCACGGGTCAGAGTGAAGCCGTGCTGGTGAGAGGCGTGAGGGACCCTGGGGCAGGTGAGCACGGGGGCTCGTTTTTAATCTAGCGGAGGAAAGAACTTATTTCCAATTTGATGGGAAAAGTTCAGCCACTGGACCGAGTTTGCTCAGACCAGCTGGGCACAGATCCATCTCGAAGCCTGCCCAAAACATAACCTTCAGGCAGCTCTTATCACGAGCCGGATGCTATACTTACCATGTTTAAGGATAGTCGTATCAGTTTAAGATGAGTCCGTCACCTTAAGTGTACCACTCACCAAACCTGATAAATGGTTCATTTGCTTCAAAAACATGCAGCAGATCTTTCTGCGTCAGCAAAGGGCAAATGGTGATAACCCTGGAACTGACACTTAGCTTCCCCAGTCCCGATTCTGGCCATTATCCAGTTTAGGGACAATGCCGTGTTTGGCGGGCTGGAAACCGCTATGGAAAGGGGTCAGGACAGCCGGAGAACCATCCTCCTCGTGCCACTTCCGTGTGCCTGTCCCTCAAGGGCCAGAACTGCTGTTACTTAGTGGGAGGGAATGAGGCTGAGCCCTCGCACACCTCCTCAGGGGAGAAAGGGTTTTGTTCGTATGAGCACTTGATGTGTACAGGTCAACAAATATCCCAAGCACATGAATATGCAGTTTAATTCTCATAACGCGAAAGGGCAGGTGTTTTTTCCTTGTAAAGCATTGAGGAATTGAGATTTTCAAGGCTCCACCACTCAAGTGCTATCACAGCTATTTTTTTTAAATTTACAGTTCACTGGTTCTGAATCAACTCATGGGAATACGGGCAACAAACCACTGTCAGCAGTATGTGACTGTCACCAATGGAATTCATGTTCCAATTGTCACATCTCAAAATATTTTTCAAAATTACAGTAATCATCAGACCTGAAGCTAGACTTATTACTAAGGCATACATATTACTGCATCACAAATTATGCCTTTCAACGTTTTGCTAACCGTATAATTGTCACAAATTGTTTTTTCTAACTTTTGATATAATTAGTTTCCTTTATTCTTGTTTTTGCATTGAAAACATCTGAGAGGGGACCCAGACTGCCAAAATTGCCCATGGCAAAAATAAAAAAGGTTAAGACCCCTGCATTCCTTAGAGGACCTCGTGGGAACAGTCCACTGGAGTGCTTAGACACAAATACCCAGCCCAGCCTCATCTGTCACAGGTGTGCGCCGGCCTCTGCTGCATGCCAGGCATGGCGCCGACTGCAGAAATCTTAAGACGGGGTACCATTGAGGAGACAGGAACCTCCTAGTTCAGTGTAGACAGAACAGTCTAAGGTGCTACAAAGGCCATAAGCCTCGTTCGACTAACTGGGACCCGATCAGGAACTAGAGAACCTTGTTTTTAGTACGTGCACTTCAGGCGACCTCTGTTCTTCTTCGGGGCGGTTTTCAAACAGTGTGAAGCTGTGAAAGGTTTGAAACAGAGTACGGAGAGAGGCATAAGCCCAGTTAGGGCTCTGGAGGTCCCGTCCTACCTAGAGATGCAGAATAGCAACTCGGTATGAGGGCCTGGTGACAATTTATGTGGAAAGCCCGTAAGTTCAGGCTGTTTGGGCGGGCAGGAAAGAGTTCCAGACGCTGAAGAATTTGAAATAACCAAAGGCAGATGCCAAGTATGCTTCAAAGACACGTTTAAAGTTTTATTAAGGACAAAGTTACATACAAATCAGAATGTTCCCTAGAAACGACATTCTGAGCAAAAACGGGTAAGGGGCCCCTGGATTTAAGAGGTTATTGGTGATCCAAAAAAATGTTTCACGTTGTAAGAATTAGAAATTGAAATCATCAAAGATTGTCACAGTTTGACAAAGGGAAGCATGTCACCTGGAGTTAAGTGCACGGGAAGGGTAACAGGCATTCCAAAGTGGCAGAAGACTTATTTCCTTATAAGCTAAGAGGAAAAAATAAGAGGCTCAAGAACTAGAGTTTATCACTTTGGCAACAGGAAAAAGCCAGAGGTGGAGCCAAGTATATTTCACCTCTTTACTCTTAAGAAACGAAATGATGTCCCAAGGTCTGGGTTTTGAGTGCTTCTGTTGGATACTCATGACCACGCATGGTTTTAAATCAGTATCTGCCCTGGATGTGTTATTAAAATAACTATTATCTTTTGTTCTGGCCAACGCATAGATCAGTGTGAAGATTCAGGTGTCCTCCAGAAGTTCGTGGGTTCTTACCAGATCCTCCTCTACACCCTCTTTGCAGCGTTGGCATCAACAGCTTTCCTCTTTCTAGGTAAGGAGTCCTTATATTCAGCACGTGGACTTTGACTTGGAAACTGCCATTTCACAAACTAAATAAGGATGAAAATTAGTTATCGCATCTAATTTGGGACAAGCAGTTGACATTGATTTAGCTGCCCTAGCCAGTCGCCTAGTAGGTTCTGCTCAACTTACAACTATCAAGAAGCAATAAATTAATATGGCAAACATACTCAGAAGTGGAAGCCATTGCAAACCTAGTTTTGCTCATGTTCACAGCTAAACACTCTATTTTGTCTACACCTGCACATCCTACCATCTTTTAGCCAGAGATCAATACCTCTAACAGTTTAATAAAGATTCCTAAGCATGCTACTACTAAATTTGAAATATTTATAGCAATATTTTAAAGAACCTCTAAACGTTAAAGTTGACTCTGCCCCTCCCTTAAGGCCTTCCTTCGATGCCAACATCAGTAAAGGCGACATTTCCTTGTTTTTTTTCCAGCATACAATGCCTTCCTGAACGCGTTACAGACAGTTCCAGTGGTTTACGTACCAACCCTAGGAACACCACAGCCAGGTGAGGAATCGCACCATTACCTCCTGCAGATCTCAGGTAGCCGTTTTCATTCACCCTTCACTGTCTCCCTTCCCAATTTATCTCTAGGTGCTTACGCTCCCGCCACGCTCCCTCCGTTCGTGAGTCCGCAACCCCCAGCAGTCCAGAGTCGGCTACAACACTGGCTGTGGAGTATAAGGCACTAACCTCCACTTGGACAAGTCCCCATAGCTGTAGGAGACTGGAGCCCTCTAGCACTAGACCAGGAGCCTAGCAACAACCTCCATACACGTTAAGATCCGAACAAGGCTTCTGAGAACTGTAAATAAAGACGCCTAAGCTGTTTTGTGTTAAAGTGGTGTGTCGAATGGTATTTTAAAGATGAACTGTTAGTCTAAAAAAAACTTAAAAGTGAAAGTAAATTCCCCATTTGTATGGCGTATCACATTTTCAACCCAGCTCCAAAGACTTATCAACGAGCCTTAGGTGGAAAGAAATGTCCCAAATGGACGTTTTAAGGACGTGGCTACTTACTTGCCCCAAATGACTCTAGCAGTCCACTCTCCTTGTTGCCCCTGAACACTTGAAGTGGGAACTTCCTAGCAGTAAAACAAGACAATAAACAGGATGTATCCAAAATGTGTTTATTGGGATGGTTCCTCACTCATCTTAATTCATGGTGCTTTCAGTGCTGCTTCCTTCTGAAGGAGCATCCTGGAAGAGAAAGCGTGAGGTTAACTGACAGCAGCCTACTCACCCTGCACCCCACCTCCACAGGTCAAAATGACCGATGGCCCACCCACAGGAAAGCAACTCTATTTTAACTCCTTTAGCTAACACCCAGCCACTTAAAAGACCTTATCAGCTTCAGCTCAGGAGGCCCCTTTTATCAACCATTTACCTTCTGTAAGCCTTGCTTTTCCTCCTGTGGGCTGACAGAGGACAGTGGAGCAGCCAACACACAACACGACTGTTTGTGCATGGCTAAAGACGGTGGTGATTTTATAGCATCCTAGAAAAGACATCAAGAAATCGTTATGTTTTTTGCCATGCCTTTCACTTAAATGGAAGCTATCATGTATTAACATGCATGTTATATAAACTTTTGAAACTTACTAACCTATTCTAAACTCGATTACCTGGCTCCAAATATACATTAAAGCCAACTCAGAAGCAATGTGGACTACCTGCCCCCCACCTATGAATTTTTGGTTTACGAGTGACTGTCTAATCCTAGATCCTAAAAAGGAAAGGAGTGGAACCGACGATTTCTCAGGTCACGAAGGGTCATCGGTCCTCCGCTTGCGAGGGAAGGACGGTCAGTAATAGGTCAACACGACCCCCACCCCCGCTTCCACGCGGAGTCCTAACTGCGCAAGGCTCAAGCCCGGCACGTCATCCCAGTCCCCTAACAGAGAAACGTCAGGCTCTGAGTCTGTGTGTGCAGTTTTGAGGGGCGATCACTCCTCCTAAAATGCAAAACTGAACCCGTCCCGTACGCTCCAGTTTTAAAGCGTCGGGGCTGCTTCCAGGGTCCGGCACGGCTCACACTACACCTGGCCCGGTCTCGGGCCCACTGCGCCCCGGTGGGGCGAGCTGCCGCCTCACCTGGGCACTTCACGTCCATGAAGTAGGAGTTGGGGCTCTGCACCAGGCGCTTCTTCTTGTGTTTCCTCTTCTCCTCTTCCGGAGAGGGGTGGAGGAGGTCCTTGGCGAGCTACGAGAGGCAGAAATGCAGATTGAGAGACCAAGGCGGCGAAGGAAACCAGCCCCGCGGCCGCACCCCGGGGAGGGCTCGCCCCCGGCCGCCCCGGCGTCTGCGCAGCTGGGCCGCCATCTTATCTCCGCTCCGCTCCCGTCCGCGCAGAGCCCCGCGGCCCCCGCCGTTGGTGTCCCCGGAAGTGCGGAGGGCACGCGAGGGCCCTATGCGCCCCGAAATCAGCGTGAGGGCAGCGGGCGGGCGGCCGGCGAGAGCTGCGCCGAAACCTGCCGCGAGGAACTCACAGGCATGTTCTCGTGAGGAGGTCGTCACCGCCGGAAAGGAGCGAGAGCGGAAATCCTGGCCCTTATATCCGCCGTCCCTTCGGAAGTGACGTCAGGGCCGACTGCCGCCATGTTGGGAAGGTCATTCGCTCACGGCCCGCTCGCGGTGAGGCGAGGAGGGGCCGCCATTTTAGGAAGGTCTGTCAACAGTAGTCGTGACACATGCGTGCCATGTTGAGTGAGCGGGCTCTCTGACAGAGGTGAGCGTCTGCTCCCTTCCAAGGGATGAGTGGCCACTTTGACAGTTAGAGCCGAGCAAATAGGAACCGCTGAGGAAGACAGCCCGGCCGAGCAGTGTCCGGACTTCTGAAATTTCTTTACGAATTTTCGGTTGGGTTAGTTTGCCCATTTTAAACAATTCAGAAATGTAAATGTAAAAAAGTGAAGTCCTCTTATTTCCCCCATCCCCAGCCTACTACTAGAGTTGTTAAATTGACTGTCTCCTTCGACCCTTCCGTCTAATAATGATTACATCACCCCCGTAGCGCTGACTCGCTGCGTCCTTCTAACAGGTCGACACTATTATTATGCACATTTTACAGATTAGGAAAGTGATGCACAGAGAAGCCACATAAATGGTCCGAAGTACTACTAGACGCCTTCGAGAAGTCCGTGCCAGTTTACGCCCGCATCCTTTCCCCGCGTTTTCCCCAGCACTGCGTTTCCACGACTTCTAACCTTGGCGGCACTGACACCTTTGACGGAAGGAGAAGAAAGGGAAAGTGAAGACTAAAGCACCTTCTGCAATAATAACCAAAGGTTTGGAGTGTCTGTCATGAAGGAGGAATGAAGATGCCCCAGATGGCACCTGGAATATGGTTAATTCCAGAGGAAATGGAGGGCAGGGCCCGAGAGTGCCGCCAGTGGCGGGGGAGCCCGCGAGCGCGCCACCACCGGCTCTGTCGGGGAGCGCCCTCATTTTGTTGCCTTTGCTAATTTCAGGGGTGCAAATATTCCCAACGTGGCAACGGTTCCAAACTACCAATGTGACATCATTAAGCCCGGAGTTGGTAAGAGACATGCACAATCTGTTCTCATAAGCCAGTAAGAACTGATTCCGGTTTGTCAACTGTGATTGAAAAAAAAAATTGTTTTAATTTAAAAAAAAACACAAAAAACTGGTTCCACTGACGGACTGGTCAAACCTCTGAGGAAGTGACATTTAAGCTGAAATCTCAAAGACAAGGAGTCAATCATGCAACAATCTGGGGGGAACGCGCCCTAGGGAAGAGCTCGTGAGCGTGAACCCCAAGGCCAGAATGGGCTGTGGGCGAGCACTGCCGGGCTGCCGAGGTTCCAGCGAAGGCGGGGTACACCCGCACGAGCCCGTTTTAGAGAAGCAGGCAAGAATAACAAATCGCAAGGAACCAACAGTCCAGTTCCAGGCAAAATAAGATGAGAAGAACTGATGGATTTTTATCGGAATAAGCCGTAAAAATTGAACGGTAACTAAAAGGACTTGTGAGAAATGGCTGGGCCAGTGAGGAGAAAGAGGGAAGACTCGAGATTTGTGATGCAGCTTGAACACACTCTGGGAGGTGGGACAATGCACAAAATGGGATTACCTTGTGTTGAGAAAGGGGACAAAGATGTGACGTGACAAAAGATACTTTCTCACAACCAGTGCACTCTCTTTACACAAGGAGGATTCTTCTGACCCCGTTAGAAAAGCAGACATTCTGAATAAGTTTTTCCAAAGGCCAAGATAAACATTTCTTTATAGCCACGTTCGCTGTACTTCAGTTTCCTGGTTGTCAAGGCTACGCACCCACAGCCGTTCAGTGGGGTGTCAGGAACCCGGCCTCGGCTGTTAAATGAGCCACATCTTCTCCGCAGAGTGAGACCAGACAGGTGTAGTCCCTACCTCTGCCTTTCTGAGCTGGGCTCCCAGAAGGAAGACCGTTCCAACTGAAGGTCTGGGTGTGTCTGCGTGGCATTGTGTGCGCGTGTGTGCGTGTGCGTGTGTGCGTGTGCGTGTGTGTGTGTGTGTGTGGGGCCGGGGCGGGGCCCAATCGCGGTATCGGGAACGTTAATTTTCACTCTGCTCCACCAGGGGGCAGACTGACGCAACGAATAACCCCGCACTCCCGGGGCGTCCCGCTTTTTTCAAAAGTTGTTGGGAGTGTAGAACTAAGGGCTTGGAACACTCACACCGGAACCCTGGAACCGCCCCCGGGGTCTGTCTTCCCTGAATGGCCCTTCCAAAAGTCGGCCCCCAACTTCTGCCAACGCTCAGCGCCATCCCCGCCGTCACCTTCATTCCCCCAAACTTTCCCCTTCTAATTCCTCCGAAATTCCTTCCGCCCCGGTCATCTCGGTTAGACGTCTACTTCCCCTCGCTCCAGCCTCTGGCCTCAGACTGGAAAAACGAGGTCAAAGGTGGAGGGCGGTGATCGCAGCAGCACGCCGTGGGACACGAGGCGGGAGGCAGGCCGGCCTGGGCCTGGGCGCCGGGAGGACGGCAGGCCGGC